TTATACTTGAAGGAATCACATGAACTGGAATCAGAAAAACTTTCATGTTCTGATCGTTCCGGACTTTCACGTCCTCCAGCTAATCTTTGTAACTGCTTATCCGATGTATTCTCTGGCCGTTCCTCTTCGCCACTCGAGGGAGGTTCTTCCTTTACTTGACGTAATGGAGATACCTCATTGCTAAAATATTCTGGATGCATTGACACAAGAGCGATTTTTACTCAAATTAATTATTAACTTGATTAATCATTAGTTTTTACTTCAGTTGAGAAGATTATTATAGTACAAACTATTTTGTTGTACTTTTAATGAGGCCATTATTCAAGTTGCTTACCCCTTATCTCGATTAGAAGTGCGACTTTCACGATCGCGTGGACTTCGACTTCTTTGTCGAGCACTCGGGCTTTTTCCGACGCGGACTGCGGCTTCTCGACTTTCTTTTTCGATCCTTATCATAGCTATCATTAGTTTTCCTCCTCCTTGAATCACCACTTGGAGATCGACGAGGCGGGGTGCGTGCACGATTCCTCCGTGAAGTTGAATCAACGTGATGCTCCTCTTCTCTCCTGAATTAGAATCCCAATTCTTCAGAATGACAGCTCATAACGTCTTAGGCAGCGTTCAGACTTCGCGACGGCAGCGCTTCGGTCGCGCGTTCGACGCGATCGATGCGCATGCTTTCGACTGCATCGATCGCGTCGAACGCGCGACCGAAGCGCTGCCGTCGCGAAGTCTGAACGCTGCCTTATGCGCTACGGATGATGGCGCCTGCTGGCGGGATGAGTTTGGCGCGGTCCGTTTCTGAAGCGAGCGTTTGCGTGCGCCAAACCCATCTCGCCTGGCATGCCCCATCATTAGCAACAAGCAAGATTGTACGTGAATGACTGGGGCAAGGCCGTTTAAATGTCCGAATACTCAAAAGCGATTAGGGTTGAAATGGGTCAGGGATGGACACAAAGAAAAGAAATCCTGAAAAACGCCCCCTCCGTTTAAACTGCGTACCTGTTTTTAATGCTACGCTCTTCTCTGTGGCTACGGCTGCTTCTACTTTTCTCGTCCTCGTGTTTATCGCGGCCTTTGTCGTCCCGCCTATCTCGGCTGTTACCGTCGTCGCGCCTTTTTTCCTTCTTCTTTCTTACAACTTCCTCTTTTTTGGACCTGTAAAAATGTCTTCAACTTGTCAGACTACCGGAAGTTCCCTCATTTTTTTTTCGAAGGCTAAAACCGACATACCGTTTACGTTTAACACTTCCACTGCTGCTGGAGTCACTGTCGGAAGAAGACGAATCATCGGAAGAATTCTCAGACGAATCTAAAACCATATTAATCTGGACAGATTTTAGAAAAAAAGAATAGGCTATACTACGAATATTTTCATATTTCTGATCTACAGCAAAACTGCTACTGTAAAAAACAGTAAAATCCACCAAGAAACTAATACCAAAAAAGAAGTCAGTTTAATAATCGCAGTACATTCATCCCCTAAAGTATTTGGGGAAGGGGGAGGGGGACACGCGGTTCGCGCCGAGCGATGGCTCATCTGCTCTTCTGCTCCTTCCTCGGCGGAATAGTGTTCGAAATAGCACATGGATGGTTAGACAGCACCTGTTCCGAACACTATCTCGCCGAGGAAGGGAGAAGAAAAGATAAGTCATCGCTCGCCGCGACTTGTGTGAGTTCAAGCAGAGACAAGACAACGTGACTGTTGATATCGATTTCGACCTATTTTCCTGGGGACCTCTGGAGAAGAGTGCGGAATTCATGCTCCATCTACAGTCAGTTTCTGAGAGATAAAGGGCGTAGCTGCACTCTTCATTTCAGCAAGGCGGGGACTGCACTGTTGGTACGATAGTGTCATCTTGAGGCAGATGCATTCACGTCTCTGCCCTAGCATGAGATGGAATGCCTGTTCAGTTTAGGCAAATATCTATGAGAAAATTAACAGAGAACCTCCTAGACTGCAAGAGGAACGCAGAATCTCATGAAAAAGCCTGAGATAGGTAAGTCACAGTAAACTTGAAGGTGCGAGGTAAACAGGCTTCATCATTAAAAATGGGTGAAATTGGTGGACCAGTTTCTACTCCGAAAAACGGCCAAGAAGCTCGATCAACCCCAATATTGAGGCCAAAATTGGAGGCGTTGCTAAATATTAAATCACGGGTTGAACAAATTCCGCTCTTTTGAACGTATTTCAGACCTGACAAGAATACCAGATCGAAAGACCTGAAGCGCTCTGAACAACTCGTAATCACCACAAATTAATGAACAAACTTCTGAAGCTTCGGATTTCCAAAAAGTAAAACATTTCAACACCAACAGAAGAAACTTGCCTGATGAGCTACTATCCGAGCTGGATGAAGAGCTGCTTTCACGACGTCGCTTCTTCCGCTTCTAAACACGAATTTTTGAGAACAGTAGCACCTGAATATGAAACAGCTCCCTCCGAAATATCACAACAGAAGTTGCAGCTGTCAAGCTTATAGAGAAATAGTGGGGGTGTAATAATGGTGTATGGTGCGATAAAAATGAAGTTTTGGTCACAAATAGCTGCCATGTGTTGTCTTATGCTCAAGGCTACGAACTCACCATAAAAACTAATCGGTGCACTATACGCACTGCCGCACTCTACAAGAAGGGGCCATGTGACGGTAGGACCATGCAGCATCGCGCGCGACAATTGCAAATACCGTATGGCTACGATCGACGAGTTTTATTCGCGATGGTCTGATTGTCGTAACAGTGACATTCCACTGCTATTTTCTTCAAAAAACCGTCCGCCATAATAATTCAGTCTCTACGACCAGGCTGCGAATGAAGCATTGTGACAGTCAAATGATAAGGGATCGGAAGACAAGCTGAATTGACCCGCGAGCAGAATCTGCGCAGGTTTCTCTTCACCACAACTGGCATGTAATTACTCTACTTATAGAAATGAAACTAAATCTAATGATGACGGCAATCTCGATCTACCAGAGTGAAGAGCGTGGATGAAAACTGAAGCGAACACAAAAACCAATTAATAATGCAATGAGTTTATCGCGAGCGCGCGCTACTGCAGCCTGCCGTGTTTGCAAATTGCCGCGCACGCGACGTCCTGTGTTTCTAAAGACCGTCTCCCAGAAGACAGTGTAGTGTAACCAAGGGCAATGCGCGAACAGCTGCATAGTATCATTGCCACTAGAGTATCATCACCCTCTCGATGGGAAAGAGCAAAATAGAGGGCAGAATAGAGCGATTCGCATCAAATATAAAACGGAAACAAAATCGCGGTCAGACTTTTTAGTTCGTCTATAATGTATCCAAGTTCAGCTATCGCCGACACAACGCTAGGAGATTTCCCCCTTTTGGCCCCTTTGTTTTCATCGAATAAACCCTACGGAGTGCAAGAATGCTAACAGTCTCCATCCCTCCTACACTTCGGGATGATTGTGAGTCAATGGTTCGTAAACGGCTGCAAAAAGTAATTCGGAACTAATCTTAGACCTACAGTATATGTGGTGTGTTTTTAGTGTGTTGTCTGTGTGTGTCTAGAAAAAAAAAAGAAAAATAAGAAAATAAAGAGGAGAAAAAAAAAAGAAAAAAAAAAAAAAAAAAAAAAATGTAAAAAAAAAGATAAAGAATGAAAAAATAGATGAGAAAAAAAAAAAAGAAAGAAGTGGGTGCTCCGTATGTGTGTGCACGTACATGTGTATGTACGTGTGAACACTGCTCTCACATAATAATAGCTCCACCCATAAATATCACAAAAAACAATCAATACCAGTTTGCATGTTAACACCGGAAACTAACTTGAAAGAACAAGTTTTTTGTTCATTTTTTTAAAATTGGTACTCTGACAATTCCACAAAATGATAGCTCCACCAAACAAATCGATCATCCAACAACAGTGCACAAGCAAAATGAATAAATTGTGGATTCAGTAATCTACTGAAACTCCATTTCTTCGAATAAGCTCGACATGCTGCCATGCATCAATGATTGACTTCTTAAGCTCACGGACATCGTGGAATCGCGCATTGTTCGCATAGATCTTGCGCACCATGAAGCCCCACACATTCTCGACTGGGTCTAAGTCGGGGCTACTGGCTGGCCAGGGCAAAAAGACGGTTTGGTGACGAGTGAATCACGCTCAGCCAAAAACTAACCTTACTCCATTGGTTCGGCAACATCTTCCAGCTAAGCCAATACGGTTTTCGCGATAGTTTTTTGCGAGAAACAGTGCCAGGCTCATATTCCTCCTGTAGGTGAACTCAGGAGTTTTTCAAAATACGCCGAACAGTCTCCTTCGAGACATTAAGCCTCAAAGTTGACTTTATTTCCCGGCACGACATTGGAGAATTGGATGCTTCTCTCAAAATACGGCGCTTATCCCGATCTGAGAGCAAAGGAGGACACCGCTCTTCTTAACTCCATATCTTGCAGACTGCTTGACAAAATTTTTGACAACATGATGACTGCGGCCCAAATCCAGTGCGATTTAACGGTTCAACAGTTTCTTTGCGATTATCTGTCCTTTTTTTAAAATACGATAGCCAGAAAAGGCGAAGTCACAATGATGAGAGAGTTTTACTCAACAAAAAAAGACGCAGCGACAAAACACGAGGTGGACTATCCTTTTGTGGGATTGTCAGTGTTAGTTTCCGGTGTTGACATGCAAACTGGTATTGATTATTACCTCATTTTCTACTTGAGGACATTTTTGAAAACCTCATGTAAGACGGGATTTTGTAATATTTATGGGTGGAACTATCATTATGTGGAGCAGTGTATGTGTGCTCTGACGTACGTGCGCGTTGCGAATGCGTGAGCAAAAGACGAGCCGCTGACGTTCAGACCAGAATATGATAAAGGACTTGAGTTGACGAATGTGATAATAGACAAGGAAAATGAGCTCGGCACGAGAGTGATAAGATTTCTGCGACATTCGTACGAACCCTACCCCATCCATTTCTATCTTTTTTTTGTAGAACGAACGTTTTGTTTCCGTAGATTTTCGGAAATGAACGCACAGGATCCTGTCTATCGGAAAGAAATCACTTGTTGTGTAGCGCACTAGTGCGATATTGGGAGCGCACAGTAGAGTGAAGACAAGATGTACGCTAACCGGCGAAATGGATTCTGAAGGTGTGTTCGTATCTATAAAAGCATGCATTTTTCGTCATTCGAGAAGTAGCGGAAATGGGGCTGGAACGTAATGAAAAACGGATGCCGTTTGGGTTTCCACCTGTCGTCCAGAACGTGCAGTGTCGATGCCGAGGTGTCCCAGCAAAGCTTTCCATACAAATGATAGAGGCACAGATAAGAAGCCTGATTAGCTTAGCTAAGCATATAGGTGGGAGTGCGGCGCATATATGTCTCGTGTGTTGCTTGTGGCTGAAGCCCCAGGCGGCATCCAACCTCCACTACGGCTTCCACACTCATTTCCGCGCACCTTCGAGGAATGGCAGAGGCATATTTCTACAGCTGCGAACCCGTTCACCTCTCACGTGGAAATAACCAGGATATTCAGACAAGGATTTTCGGAAATGAATGTGGAAGGCCTCTAAGAAACAGAAAAGCAAGCTACGACTAAGTTAAAGACAGTTCCCGCGAATGGTCGCGAAAAGCCCGTGCATTTGGCATCGTTGTCCGCATTCGCAGAGAATATACCACTTTCGTCACTCGAAACGGCGAGATAAAGAAGCTAGAGACGCGTGATTATTGCAACCATTGCAACCACGATTACTTTCACTCTGCAAGACAACGGCTTACAAGCGGAATTGCGTGTGTACATAGCGTTGCCTGGAGCGTCGTAGGGTGATTTCCTGTGCTCTTGCCGGAATGGCTGCACGTCGAATCCTGCTGATTGGGCTTGCCGACGTCCGACAAACTCGTCCAAGGTGCCCACTGCTAAGGGAGTCTCTGTTCAGAGCGTTCCATAGGTTTTTTTGATTCCTTTTCTACTGGAGAGGGGGGGGGGTAGTTAGGGGCTACTGGTTTATTACCGAGCAGCTACTACCCGTAACATGGATCGCGTGAATTGTTTTTAAAGACGTGTTGCTGACTGGGACGAAAAAAGAAAGTACAAGAAATTACTCAAAGTTAGACCTTGTTTTGATCATGACGTGACCTAGATAATTCTGTGGAGTTCCAAATGCACTGGGATTTCACAGCTCAGAATATTCACCTTAAATTCGTATGTCGCTCTTTTTTGCGTTTTTTCGGTGCTTAACATTTGAAGATAAACAGTCAGCGAAAGATTTGGTAATGGAACACAGCAACAAAGCAACAAAACATCTCACCCGAAGGCTTCCTTGGTCTTCAGGACACCTTCTCTGAAATAAGCTGCCCAAAACCGCTGCAGCCATTACTCGCAAAGTAGCGTCGATTCTGTCTTCGAAAAGCTTTCATACCGTGAAATCGGGCGGACACAATGATAATGCCTTCTGCAGCGTAAGTCAGTCCCAACGTGCTTTGCCTCATGTCATAGCAGCGGGAATCGAAGAAAGCCAGCAATCACGTTCCGACTAATTTTTTCAGGAATTTAAAAATTCGGAGGAATTGTACGGGGAGAAAAAGTGCGGCAATACGGATGGAAGGAGTCTTTATTGTTTCTAAACTTCTTCATTACCCCACAAAGATGAAGAAGCTTCAGCGCGAGCTCAGTACAATCCAGTTTCAATAAGGTATAGTGTTGAGAGGCCTGAAGTCGCAGTTAAACTGTATTTGCTTTCAGAAGAATGGTTTGCAGCAACAACTCTAAAAAAGGCTACGAAGTGAAATCATCACCTGCTGGTTTATTAACTATCGGCAGTTTTTTGCAATGTCATATAAGGTGTTGTTTTGTTTAGGCAGTTGGCAAAATAAATCTCTAAAACATGTAGGACTAATACGTCAGGCATGACGGAATTCCGCGCCCCTGAGCAGGCGCTGCGTAGCGCTTTTTCGAAGAAGGGGTTCCTCCTAAGGACCTACCAAGCTGCAAAATACCGACCCGGATGCCCGCGGCCACACGCCTACAAATGGACGACCACACATGTTGCTCGTATTGCTTCATTTGCGAAGTAAAGTAAAACGAGTCGAGAGCTTCAATTGCACTACTCAGAATTGAGTTAGCAACAATTTACTTGACAGGAGGCATCAGCACGAAGTGAAAAAGCAACGAAGTAGAAAAGCAGATGAAAACAGCTAGCGGCAGAACTGCAACAGCTAATCGATGAGCCGACCTACCTTGTTTGTCTCAGACTTCTCCTTCATTTCCTTCTTTAGTGAACTGAGTAACGAATCTCCAGCACTCGCAGTTGGTGCAGCGAGGGCAGCTCCGACCACATCGGTTTTCTTCATACTACAAGTGATGAGGTTAGTGCTCATTCCTGCCGAAGACAAATAGCAAAAATGACAGGATCCACTTACTTCTCCATTGACTTTCCGGGGACAAAGTCTTTACTCAGTCCCAGAGCGTCCCTCATCTTGTCGCGATTCTGAAATTTTTTGAAAGTCATTATACACAGTCAGCTTACAACAATGGTAACATAGAAAATATGCTGAAGAATGCTAGAAGCAATGTGACCTACAGGCCTGAATGCTAACCTAGTAAAGCTAAGCAGAGCGGCGCCCTTCTGCTTCCTTTCCCCTAATCAATCAGGGAAAATTCGCGAGAGAAGTTGAATTAGTTAGGGGAAAGGAAGCCTTTATCGCTCAGACCTCCTCCTGAATCAATTTCATGTCAGCGCTACGTGGGAAGGCATCAGTTACGCAGTTACCTCCCACACTTAAGGCTCTGAAAAAGGAAAATCTCCTGACCCAAAAATCTACGCATACAATAGCATCTAATAATGCGGATCGAACTGAACATAACGCTACAACCATGCTTCGCGACGGAGAAAAGGAAAAAGAAGAATCGGCGAAGCAATGTTTCTGGAGAATGAGTTCCAAAGGGGCAGATGATTACCGGACGGTCGCTAGCCATTCGAGTTTTGAAAAACGGCTGGTTAACTTTGCGGTAAAGAGTTGTAGGGAAGTCACAAACACTCCACGTAGAAGAAACAATGTTAAGACTTATATCTAAGTCAATCTGCAGAGCACAAGCTTAATGTTTAGGGCAACTCCTGCCACTGGGGTAAATTCTTGTAAAATCCCCTCTCAAAAGTTTTTTCCTCTGGTACCACCGTCCACCACCGACCCCACCTACCGTGTTCCTAAATATTCCCAGTCGCAGAACATGTGCGAAAAGTCAATAGCTTGAATAACTGAAACTATCCTTCTCAGAAGCAAACACATCCCTCATCTCCACCTAACGAATACGACGCTCTCGCCGGGGTTCCCAAAGGAACGTGTACTGCATATATTAGGTCGTTGCAAAAGAAATGCAGGATTTTGCTTGCTTGTATTTCATACTTATTTTATTCCAATAATATGTTACTTTAATATGAAGTGTTATATACTATTCGGAAGCTCATCTCATGCTCTTTCTAAATGATACTCCAAGATTGGTTGTAATTCATTTTATTATAATTTTTATTGACATTTTATTGCAGATGTCGAAACGTGAATTTCGCACTATTTTCTTCTATGAGTTCAAGCTAGGACGAAACGCTGCCGATACAGCTCGGAACATCAACGAAGTTTGGGGTCAAGGAAGTGTCAACGAATGTACGGTCCAACGTTGGTTCCAGAAGTTTCGTTCTGGCAACACCAGCCTTGAAGATGAACCTCATGTTTGGTGGTCTGCCGCCGGTCTCATCCATCACAGCTTCCTGAATCCTGGTGAAACAATTACGGCAGAGAAGTACTGTCAACAAATCGACGAAATGCATCAGAAGCTTCAACGCATGTGCCCAAGGTTGGTCAATACCTATTCTTCTCCACGACAATGCCCGACCACACGTGTGCTCGAACACAATGCTCGACCCTCCAGAAGTTAAAACGAAACTCTGCCTCATCCACCATACTCACCAGACCTGTCGCCCACCGATTACCACTTTTTCAAGCATCTGGACAACTATCTTAAAGAGAAATGCTTCAAAAACAGACGATGCCAAAAACGCCTTCAACGATTTCGTGGCCTCTAAAAAGAATTACAACCAATCTTGAAGTATCATTTAGAAAGAGCATTAGATAAGCTTTCGAATGATATATAACACTTACATTTTATTGGAATAAAATAAGTATTAAATACAAAAAAACAAAATCCTGCATTTCTTTTGCAACGACCTAATAGTGGACCAAAGCGGCGCAGATCGGCGACGGGGGGGGGGGGTGGCATTGTGCACTCCGAGCTATCTCTAGATCTTTTTCATGAGCAAAACAAGAGTTGAAGGGTTTTACCATGGTGACTAGACGAGCTTGCAGCTTCATAAGAGTTCAAAGTTTCACCAGAGCGCAACTTGTGAACCGCAACTAGTAAAGCAGTGAAGGTATGAAAAGCCCCCCCCCTCCCCTCGCCGAACAGTGTCGACCAAAATATTCTATGTCTCACAAATAAATATGTAACTTTTCCATAAAATACCAGAATCTTACAGGATCGATGTTGCTACAAACGAAAAAAAAAACAATGACATCGCAGCTTCACTATGAAAATTACAAAAAAGCAAAAATACCTTAACAGCGGCTTTTGCTCTGGCGTGTGAATCTCTAGTGTCAAGCTCAGAATCCAGGTTGAGTTCGCCCGACTCGAGTTGACCCAGCAAAAGTTTCCGATAATCCGAAACCTTCTTCTGTATTTCATCGTCATCAAAACCCTTAAATACAATAAATTATAAAAGGAAAAAGGATACTCTTTGCCATTAATGAACCCCTTTCCAATCAAAATCGTAGTGGCTTACTGAGGGTGATGTGGCCTGTACAATGAATCGCGGGGCCAGCCAACGTACAAGTCGGTGTTCATATCCTACTAGACGAATCTGGTACCAATTTACTGCCCCGATTACAGAAGGCCTGGTTGATCTACGCGAGAGTTGATCCAGGAGGTGATTCACGGACCGTGTGCGTGGGAACCGTGCTACTTGCCATTACACCACCCCTTCCTCACAAGAAATGATAGGTCACATACACACGTCAAGCATATCGCCTGAGTTTTTTTTGATAGAAAAACAATTCGACGTCTTTTCTTTTTGCTTCCCTGTTTTACTAAAGCTGAGGGTATTCCCTTGACAGGATGCCACCTCAGGGCACGTGCAAGATGGAAATTCAACTATTTTTTGACACACTCTTCCCATTTTTTACAAGTTTGTTCGAACAAATTTAGCAACCTTTTTTTATTCTGATCTGAACGAACCAACCTTCTCTTCCATAAGCATTTCAAATTCGGCACATTTCATTTCAATGATTCTCTTCCTTTGATGCTGAAGAATCTCTTCATTGGGGTCCTTTATTGATCTGTGCTTCTGCTCTGCGAATGTCAGCCTCGCTATTATATTCAATACGTTTCTAAAACAAAGGAAAATATCGTTAACTTGTTAGAAGCAAGTAAAAAAATGGAAACAGAGAATAACGTCACCCTTGATAACAGCAAATTAGAAAGATTTGCTTGAACATATCCATTTGTGCCTGAAACCCCTAGCCGTCTGAAGACCAATGCCGTTGTACATGGTTTAAATGTCCTGAAAACGGCCTCTCTTTTGAGGTACACTAAAGATACCGAAACGAAAGAAAGAACGAGCGAAACAATACGAAATGGCCTTGGAGCCGTTTAAGGAATCCTTGTAGAAGATTACTGGAGTAATCCCGGTTTTCCGCACGGAACCCTTTGAATGCCCCCTCTTGAATATTAGCGGCAGAATTAAGCATGAAAGTTTTGGCGAAATAAACTAAAGCTTTGGCGAAATAAACTAACACTGAAGTCCTTGAAGAAGTCGAAAAGACAGCCTGCGGATGAAGGGGCGTGTCAGGAGGGAGGGGTTTGACGAAACTCCAAATCCGCTCTGTCCCGGTTGCTGGGGCGGGTAAGCGAGGACAGCTGGTGGAAAGCGAGGCGATACGAAAGATATGATACAGATTTGACGCTTGCTAGCAACGCAACTGGTGGAAAACGGGTTTGGCGCTGCGCAACCCGTCCCGTCTGACAAGCCCCTTTATTCGCAGCGAAGAGCACTGTAACCACAACATAGAAACTCGTGTGCTGGGATCTCATTTGAAACTGAATATTTGTTAAGTAGTCGAAATATCTGATAAAACGCCAAAAGGTGAAAACATTTTCGAAAAATCCTGAACCTGAGGTGTCGAACTGTTCATAACTCTTAATCTATATGTCCTCATTATTGCCTTCTTATTATAGCGTAGAAGAAACAACCTCGAATTTGAAGAAACCTCTTTGTTCCGTTTCGTGCTGTTGTTTACTTGTTCGAATCAGCTTTATTTTGCTAACTTAGATATCAAGTGGGCTTCTGTGGTCGACATTTTTACCTAGTACTACGAAAACTCACAAGAAAAATCCAGATAGTTCAAAAATATGCTTTGTTAACCTCTCCTAATGAGAATGGAGACGTTACTGGCACCCGCTCAAGGAACTCGATGATCAACGGGAGCACAGATGAAGTAATGTCATATGAGTTTCAAAGCATGCATGGATGCATTAGCGCGAAAGGAAGTAGCACACTTCCAGCACGCAACACTCGTTTTTCCAAAGCAAAAGCGGATACAGGAGAACCTGCATGAGGTTCCAAAGGAGATCGGTAGTAAATCGACACTTTTTAAAGTGACAGTTCAATTTCCCTATCATTCAATACAAGCAGGCGTTGTATGACTGTGCGTGACGCTATACAAACAGCGAGAAGAGGTAGTATGCTGTCGACTGATAAGAATGGCTGTTGGTGAGGCTATACGAAAAGGTTCAAATTCAGTAACTCATCAATGGAACTGATCCAGAAGTGTCAAACTTGTCTTTTTCTCATGGCCACTTTTTATTTCCCTATGTCTCACACAACTGTTACTACCTCAATCTTTGAAACCAGGCCAGTTTTAACTAACTAATTTCTACGAAGATGAAGGCAGACTTGGGTGAGGATTCGTTCATCTGGGGGAGGGAATAGTTCCATCTGTTGGACACCAATATCACATCTGCAGGAACTGCTTGGCGCCCCAAATGCTCAATTCACGAAATCCGCAGAAAACTTGCTGCTAGAGGTATCACACACACTTGGCCCATAATCGCCTGGTACCCGCGCCACAGGCACCGACGCCAAAACATCCTGGTACATAATACACAAATACTCAAATACACCAAAGACTAAAAGTTTGTAGACGGGAGTTGTCGACGCTATTTAGGACACTGCGATCATCTGCGCTCTCGTTAAGGCTCAGCCTGGCCTGAAGGGAGCACGCCTTCTCCTAGGCTCAGCCCTAGCAGGGCGCTAAATGCTATATGCTGCTATTTGTGATGAAGGCGAAAACAACCAGTTTTTATTCATTTCAGCGAAAAAGACTGTGGCGCCAAATAGTGCCAGGGCTAGAAATGAATATGATGCCTGTGATCAGGGCACCAAATACCCCGGTATGCGAGTTTACATTGATTTCGGTAAAAAGAGTGATGATTGCTACACGTGACCAGAACATCGAATAATCCGTAGGCAAAGTTTCAGTATTTTTTTTGATTTCCTTTGAGGTAGTAACAGTTGAATGCTACCCCAATTTCCTAATTTTGACAGTTGCGCTTCCGAACATTCACATTTACCATGGTTAATTCTGAGCATGACTGCAACGACTGCACGAAATTATGATGAATAGGCTTTCTATGGTGCAATCATGTACTACAAGAACAAATTTTTTTGTTTTATTAGTATATGAAATAATTGGGAAATTTTTCTGGGCTGGTACTCAAAACTTACGGAAACTCAAATCCCGTGACAAAAATAACCACATTCACAGGTCTTACAGAAAACTAGTTATGAATGTTATATCACATGACCAGTTGCAGCAATTTATAAAACACTACCAGAAAAGTAAGTGTGTAAAACGTTCCCTTTATAGACATTAAACAAACACGAGCAACCACAGCTCCCAGTGAATGATGCCGAGTGAAGCTAAAAAAGGAAGAAAAATCACAGAAAACGCCCCGAGGCATTGCCGAGACGAAACGAACACGAAACAGTGCTAGTGTAGCCGTAAAACTAAATGTACGCGGTGTAGCTACGACACACGTCAAGTTACGACGTCTCAGAATACTTGTCAACCGCTCGGCATCTGCTCCCTCCTTTTCTCTTCCTTCTTCTTATTTCCTTCCTTCCATCTCCCTTCCGTCTTCTTTGCCCTTCTCCTTTCGACTGCGGCTGTGGAAAAATACCTCTGGACCTTTGCAGCGAGAGGATGTCCGCCTAAAAGAAGCCCAATAGCCGTGCTCACGGGCGACGAGCTTGAAGAAATGACGAATCTGCGTAAAGGGAAAAAGTGTGTGTATCGATTCGAAGGAATGACGAGTCCGCGGAACGGAGAATTGCAGAGTCAGCACAAATGCTGAGATAGACAACAAAGACTGGATAGGGAATGGCCGGATAGTCCTTGCCATAAGGCGTAAAATTACAATCCCACCAGTACGTCGACATTCCCTTCCTTCCAGTTCGGCATATTCCACGCAACTTTTGTGTAAGTGTTGCCGAAGGTTATGAGCCACAGGTAGCTCATATTGTCCCACGTGGCCACTGGCTTATTAGCCACCGGTCTCACAATATCGTCAACGTGTTAATACGCAGCTCCCTCTCTGAAAAAGTTGTCACATTTCGTGATAAGTAGCCTATCTACCTCGTCTTCCTCACTGGGCTTTGCAAAGTGGGTGCTAACGTAGTTGGAGAGCCGGGAATGGAATCACCAGCGCGTCCTTATCTCTACCTAACTGAGGCTTGGTTTTCTTTTACTAGATTGCGGACTATGTCTTCTATGCAGGACCTTCCCTAGGCGACAGCGGTCATCTGCGCTGTAAGCCCAACTTTTTCGGGAGGGGGGTGGGGAGAATACACAAAAGCGCTGGGTGGTCCCCGCTCCCACTTCCCTCCACCCCCAAACATCAACGCCCAACTCCCTTGCTAAAAACGTTTTCCCGTTTCGTGAGAAGTAGCTCAATTATAGTCTAGTTCACTGCGGACGATGGGGCGTGTCAGGAGGGATGAGCTTGGCGCGGTGCTTAACACATTCTCCAGTTTTTAGAGCGAGAAAGTGAAAAGACAGTATCATATTGTTTGCATCACTCGTTTTCTACCCCTGATTGTCGCTGGGGACGGGCAAGAAAATCTACAAAATTGTCGCTTCGCCGCGCGCGGTAATGGGCACGACGTCTCCTTAAGTTGCACTACCTTTTCGATTAGAGCGTCAACTTTCACCATGACAAGGACATTGCAGACAATTATTTATATTTTTCATCACACATTGTCCATTCTAGACCAACAACAGCCAGAATCTTCGTCGGGCGCGACGTCGCACGCGACGCCTTCTGGCGCGTCTAATTACTATTCCCTTGTCACATGCCCGATTGTCGCATAGTCGTTTCGACAACTGGCAGAAACTGGATGTGGCGCCATGGCTTACTCATACGCCTGACACGCCTCTTCATCCGCAGCGATCAAGAGTACAGGGTGGGGCAAAAAAAGACACTTTGGCCGAGTCACATATCAGTAAAGTTTATGCAGCCCAGACACAAGACGTGGATACGAGTACCAGGGCGGAAGATACCCAAGATTTTCCGTAAGCAGCACGCCCTTGTCCACCACCTCATGTACGGCAAAATATGAAGCCATCTCTCAATCGCAGCCTGACTGGAGAAGGCCTATGGAATTCACGTCACCTCCAAACAGCTGCGAAACTTCTTGTATGGAGTCACCCATGGATAGCTACCTGGAGACCAGTACTCTTGATCTGGAAGACCTCCAACATCGAGCAGCTCCGACAACGTCGCTACGGTCCAGGATATCATCTTCACCGCAGTCGCCAAGGCGCGGGTTGATGGTACGACCGGAAGTTCGTGGAATGGGGAACCGATATTTTCTTCATGGATCTCGGACTGAGGTGAACGCTGACTATTACATCAAACAGCCCGAGGAAGAATATCCTGCCTTCATATCGTCGTCTGTACCACCTTGACAACTTCATACTGCTCAGTATTGGGTGCTAGCACGTGGAATCAAAGGGCGTTGAGAACCTGAAGAAGACGGAATTTCCGGCACTATTGAACTATTCCTACCCAGTCTCCCGAAGTTCTTATTCCGTTTTTGCAGAACTCTCACAACTCTACAAAACTTCCGGTTAAATTTCGCGTGAATGCCAATTGTATGCTGGTCGGCGTGCAGTGGAATCGATTCCGCCGCGCTCGAGGCGAAGAATCGTACGCTACGCCGCCTCTCGTCCTCAGTGGCCTCG